AAGTAAAACACATGTACCACACAAAGGACACAGGGAAGCATATGTTATATTACTCTATTTATATGAAATTCTTGAATAAGCAAGATTAATGCAAAGAATCAGTGGCTGCTTAGAATCAAAGATATTGGCCACAGAGAGGCATGAGAAGTCTTTTCAGGGTAGAAATATTCTATTTGTTGATTTGGGGGTGGTTACATGACTGTTATTTGGGCTTAAATGAATGTGTTTTAATGTATGGATAGTATACTTTAGAAAATTCATTTAAAATATTTAAAATAGAACATACTTAGTAGAAAACAAGAAAAGCAGGTTCAAATCTAAGAACTCTGAGATGTGCTTCTGCTCTGACTTCCTCCATGGCTTCTCACAAGGCCTGGAAGATAAAGTTCCATCTATTTGCTGTAACTTTCCACTACACGATATTAAACCTTAAAACAGGTTTTGAATTTTTAGATTTAAATATCTTAGAAGTGTTAAATACCTAGAAATTAATTTTTCAAGGATTATCTGAGACATTTGATGACACCAGTGATGGACACTATGTGAATACATGAATTACATGGTCCTAGATGAACAGTACTTACACTCAGTTTCCTTTGAATGTGCATCATGACACCAAAATAAATCCCAGTGAGGGATTTTAGGAGCAAGGCAAGGAGCTTAGAAAAGCTATCTGAAAGATTAAAGGGGGTGGGGTGCTGGCTCAGCAGTTAAGAGCACTAGCTGCTCTTGCAGAGGACCAGAATTGGGTTCCCAACACCCACATGGCAGCTAACTACCTGCCATAACTCCACTTCCAAGGGATCTGATGCCCTCTTCTGAATGCCACAGGCACTGCACAACATGACTGTATTTACCCACATGCAGACAATACACTCATACACATAAAATAAAAAATAAATTTTTTTAAAAATAGAAACATATCTATATGGAAATTTATGTTGTATTCAAATACGCTGCAAAGAGATACACTGCTTAATAACTGCTATTAACATAACTGAACAGTCATTTATTAAAAGAAACTAACTTACTCTTTGCCTGTAATTATAAGTGAAAATAAATTCCAACTATATTAAAGATTTAAATAAAAACAGAAGTAAAACAAATACTAAAAGAAATATTAAAAACTATTTGCATAATCTTGAAGTGTTTTGTTCCAAGATGACAAGAAACTCAGAAGTGAATAACTAGAGACTGAAGATATAACTACACACAAATTTTAAAGGTGTTACTGTAGCAAACAGCTGTATTTTTAAAGTAAAAAGAAAAGCAACTGGTAATAATATTTAAAGACACTGCAACCAACAAGATTAATATAAATACAGAGATTTTTGTAATGAAATCATACTTGACAAGCAAGTTAAAGTATAAACATCATTTTATTTTTCATTTCTATTTCCAGCTACACATATTCAATAAAATCTTATATGTGTGGGTGTGCATTATTGTGTGGGTATGTATGTGCATGTGTATAAATTTGTCATTAGATATCTGAAAACTTTTGTGTAACCTGTATAATGAGGAAAAGGCGAGAAAAAACCCAAGGTGTACATTAATGGAAGACTAATTAAATTATGATCTACTGATGCAGGAATGTTCTACATAGCTTTGAAAAGAAGGAAGGTGACCTACAGGTACTGACACGACAGAGTGTGGTTATTATTCTGCACATTATGCTCTCATTTTGATTTAGAAATGTACAGCAGCAGCCTCTCACCTGACCTTAGTCAGCTAACAGAAAAAGAGGGCTTGAAGCGAGAGAAAGAAACGTTAAGTGTATTCTTGATACACACACATTCTTTCTCCAGTCTTCTGATAGAGAACTAAGGACTTTAATTATGGGTTCCCCTGTTTTCTCTGATTAAACCACACTCTTAAGATACTGTCTAAAATTTCTCACTAGTTTCTCTAACTGGAGTGAGGACTTACTAACATTTGCAAAGCAATCCAGGCATGCTCTCTAACTAGATATATACTCATCCCCAATTTTTTACAATTATCCGGTCTCATCTTAACCGGGTGTAGGTATTCTTCAGCATCTCATCCTTAGCAAATACTTTTAAAAGCAATAGACTCTGTTTATATAGGAATAATAACTCCTTTTCACACCCATATTTTGGTTATAAGTTTCATCACTTTGCAAAATTACTACAGAAAGGTAAAGTAGGATGAGTTCCGGAAACAAGGAAGATTAACTCTTGACAAATATTCAAAAATTCAATCATTTTCAATTATAAATTAGCATTCGAGACTATTAATCTATGAAATTGACAAGAATCAATTTAATGAAGTATCATTAACTCTCTATCATCTGAGCAAGTTTCTAGCCCTACACTAGCCAATATGTTGGCCACTACCCACGTGGCTGTGGAACACTTGAAATGTGCAGAGCAAGCTGAGTTGTGTGTAAACGTAAAGCAAACCTCAGATCTCAGACTCCAAATGATAAAGAATGGAGTTGATTTTTTAGAGGGATACACTGAAATAAAGTTTTAGAAATGCTGTATTAGACAGGTAATTAAAACCAATCCTACTCGCTTGTTTTTCATTTCTTAAGTTGCCTAGCCTACTTTAACTCACAAATGTTGCTTTCATTCTTTCTAGTAGGTAGCACTGTTCCATAGCTGTAGATATCCTTTGTTCAATGATGTTGTACCCACGAAGTTCTTGAAGCACCATCACTGAACAAGGGATACCTGTATGTTTGGAATAGTGCTACCTAATAAAAGGAGAATGGGAACAACAGTTTGAAAACTCTTTTATCTTCTATACTGAATCAAAGACATATTAGAATAACAGTTTATAAATCTCTCCTAAGAAAACTTGTGATTATCAGGGATCTATAAACCACAACTCAAATTTAGCCTGCTACTTGTTTTTGATATGACCCACTCATTAAAAACATTTTCAGTATCTGAAAAATTATATTCTTTGATGTATAATAATGGCATGAAATTCAAATTTCAGCATCTATAAAGTTTTTCTGACTTATAGTCTCATTCATCAGTTTATATATTATCCACTATACTAGTACAGCATAGAGGAGTGGCTGCAACAGAGACCACATCACTTGCAGTCTGTAACACAGCATCTGACCCTTCATGGAAGGTCTTTGCTGACTGTTGCTCTACAGCATCCTTATGGTTCACGAGGCAGTCAGGTGCCCCTTGCATCTACAGAACCTGGTGAAATGATAAGAAAGAAGGGAAAGGCATGTCTCTATTTTCTCCACTAGAGACACATTTAGATTTCCATATTCTTCACTTGCTTCTGCCATTATTCTTGAATCAATGCAATGTCTAGAACCCCAGCTTCTAAGGCAGTTTGTACACAGAGAGTTATCACGACATGATCTGAGGTATCAAATAGTCAATGTGTACTTTGCTTTCACATTCATTGGTGGTTTATGAAAGAGGGCCTCGATGCTCACTGTGGGTATGCAGTCTATAGGTGTTATTAACAGTGTTCGTAGTGTGTGTGTGTGTGTGTGTGTGTGTGTGTGTGTGTGTGTGGGCGGCAGAGAGAACTCTCAAGTGTTTCCAGCCCCGGATACTTTTTTTTTTTTTTTTTTGGAGACAGAGTCTCTTCTTGTTCTGGAATGTGCCTGGTAGGCCAGACTGGCTGGCTAGCAAGTCCAGGGATCTGCCTGTCTCTGCCTCCCCAGTGCTCGGACCACCACAATTCACACTTCTTTTAGACTCATTCATGGACTGTCCTCCAGTCCATGGTCTCTTGGGTACTTACCTCAGTAGAACCTGTGAATGCAATCTTGTCTATGCCGATGTGAGAAGCTATTGCTGCTCCAGCCGTTGGCCCATACCCTGGCAGAATATTGACAACTCCAGGTGGAAAGCCAGCCTGCGAAACACAGTTGGAGGAAAGGTGTCTATGAAGACTATCCTACAGGTTAGCTGGGTGATGCTCTACAGTTTCCATCTGAAAGGGCAGTGGGAACCCCTTCTGAAGTCAGTTTCTCCTACCTCCTTGATGAGGGCTCCCATGTACAGTGCACTGAGTGGCGTCTGCTCCGCTGGCTTAATAACCACAGTATTACCACAGCACAGAGCTGGAGCAATTTTCCAGGCAAACATCAGCAGGGGGAAGTTCCACTGAAAGGAAAAAAAGCAAGGTTGATAGATGGGGAAAAATATTTATCCATTCCTTTTTTTCAAGCTGTGACTTCTCAGACTTCTCAAACTAGTCCTAGACATAAATCTTGTCCACCACAAAGTACAGACGTTTGGATGTTTTTAAAATTAATTTATTGAGAATTTCATACATGCATATAAGGTGTTTTGATAAAATCCATGCCCACTCCCTCCCTTCCAGCTCCTCCCAAAATACTCCTTTGCAGACGTTTGGATTTTTAATTAGATCATTAAGACTAGAATAGCTCTGACCTTGAAAATCTCTCTTTTTCTTTCCATTCAATAAATTTTACATTCCAACTACCCAACTAAAAAAATCTCATGGTATAAGGGAGTCATTTTTTCACTCATTTGGTTTTATTTTTATTATTATTTACATATTTCTAAAATTGGGCTTTGGCTCTAATAAGTTTCTATGTGTGAATTTTTTCTTGAATTTTTAGATTTTTATACTAAGATTTTCACATTGTCTGTTCAATGTATATGAACTAGAAAATAAAAAGCTAGCTGCAAATTATATTATAGTCAATGTTCACTTCAAGGTAGCATCTTTTCTTATATGTAGTCATAAAATAGAGAATTATAAATTATAAAGTAGGTTTACCAGTAAGTATGTAAAAATTTCATCAGCTCCCTCACTACTGCAAAATATAGCAATGAAAACTAGAATATATTCAATGTATGTGAATATGGGGCCTAAAATGGTTGAAAGCGATTTTAATAGACTATTAAGCTTGTGTTGTCATAGCTCAGGCTTCAGACGCCTTAATATCAGGTGTCATTGATAATTTCATGAAGGAAAAAAGCAGCACTCCTGGTTCCCTGGCTTCAGTCCCTGACCACAATGTGTTTCTGCCTGAAGCATCTCAGCTGCCATTCTTGAAGGATTCTCACTGGCTCTGGCAAGCCTGCAAAAATATACAAGTGTCTTGCCTTCACCAAACACCCAATTTCTTTTCCTCTTAGTTGTTTATAAACTTGGGAGTCCTTGGTGATGTTTTAATTCCATCTACAATGTATAAATCTTAGAGTGCAGTAACTGAACTGAGCTGGTTGACAAGAGCTCTTGCCTTGTGAGGGAAGCTGAGGCCCTGAGGAAGAGCAAGACGGGTAGGTCTGAGGCCTGCAGGGAAGGTGGCACAGCCTCGGGTGACCTCACACAGCCTCGGGTGACCTCACACAGCCTCGGGTGACCTCACACAGCCTTGGGTGGACCCCAGAGCAACTTCCCTGGGGGTAGGAGCAGAACTTCCACCAAATCTCTCATTTGCCTTTTGTCATTCTCTAACCAATTTTATAACAACCCAGGGCTTATTGGTGATTTAAAAAATATTAATAACCCCTTAAAAATCTCTGACTTCCAAATTCGAAGATTATCTTGAGTCATTTCTCCATATTTTGAAAAGAGAAAACTTCTTCTCTATATCGTGAGTTCAATGTTAGCTTCCCTCTTGAAATCCTGCCAGAACTATGAGCTAGTTCTGTTAGAAGATTCAGTGATGCTTTGTATTGTGCTAAGGATATGTATGAGAGAGCAACGGACAATGTTTAGTGTTCCAATCTAAACACTAGCATTACATTTATTTCTCTTTACAAGATAGACAACAGCCCGGCATGGTTTCAATTATGAAGATGACATTAATTGTACTGCTGTGTCTTCTGTTAGGGTCCTCTATCTAGAGTCTTGTGAAAAGGCACGGTAGGGAAGAATGGGAATAAAGACCATAAAAAACAATATGCCTGGAAAGGTGGTGAGTCACTGTTTTAAAACATAAGCAAATACAACATAGCATTAATTTTCCATAAGCAGAATGGACATTCATAACCAAGGGCAGGTTATTAATACACGGTGCTTTGCTTTGCTTATTTTAATCATGAGACTTCATGACTTGAGAACTTAACTCCTAGTAACAGAGCTAAAACTCTATTAACCTGTTCAAATAAGCATTTGCAGGGAGGCTGTTGGAGGTATGTCAACAACATGAGCTCAGTTTTTCTTCGCAGTAATGGAAAACACACATCACTAAGGACCATGTTTTATGTGTCTTTAAGAGAACTGGGTCAAGCAAAAATAAATACAAAGTGTGAGAAGATCCACTCACTGGGATGATCTGTCCACACACTCCAATAGGTTCATGTCTTGTGAAGGTAAAATAGTCTCCATCTGAAAGAAATAAGCATGGTCACTCACACAAAGTTCAGGCCAGAGAAAAAATTCGGAAGAACTTTGTTGGCAGTTACAACCCAAAATGAAGTTGAAACACATCCTACAGCAAAGCTGGTTAAAGAGCCGTCAGCTGCTGTGGGAAACTCCAGACAAGCCTCCCACATAGCAGAAAACCGATGAGAGGACAGGAAAAAACAAAGGACAGACAGCACACTTGAAGAAGTCTTGGAAGGCGCAGCTTAGAACTGGAGAAGATTAAAAACTAAATTTTACGTTAACTATTAACACATATTGCACAGTTATTTGGTTTAAAAGCTGAGATACCTCAAACTTTTAAAAAAGCTTTGTAAGTGGTTTGTTTGTTTGTTTTGAGACAGGGTCTCTCTGTAAACCCCAGATGACCTGGACTTCACTATGTAGACCAAGCTAGTCTTGATCTCACAGAGATCTGCCTACCTCTGCTTCCTGAGTGCTGGGATCAAAGGCGTGCACCACCAAGCCCAGTTCTTTGTAATTTTTTTCTAAGTTAAGGAAAAGCTACTGAACAAATTTTAGATGCTGGGCAACTGGAAAAAGTGAGAAGTAAAAGTAAGATAGTAAGACACACGGCCTCACTCAATGCAGCTGTCACGCACATGACCTTGGGAACACAGGCAGGTCCAGGACTACTTAAAGAAGTCCACTTCAGAGAAGAGCTCCACCAGCCTCCACCTGTGCTAAGCACGGACAGGCTGTCTTGTGTCTCTAGGGACTGAGAGGAAAAGTTGAAGAGACATTTAATAGCCTTCTTTCTCTTATAGGAGCAATAGGCCAACTGGGAAAAAAGCAGCCAGGAAGTCCAAATCAAATTCTTTAGATAAATGCCGTTGAGTTTATCTAACGTCTTTTAAAAAGCTAATTAAACTAACCAAAAAATAGCCCGTTTATAGCATATGGCTTTTCATTTCGAGAACTGAGCCAAGTCTGTTTTCTCCCTCTGTTGCTAGCCTTTGGTCAGGGCTGGTGTTTTGTCTCTCAAGAGCAGTACCCCAAGGAAAGTGAAGCCACACAGCTAATACTCAGGGAAGCACAACTGCCGGGTCTAGGGAAGAAGGTGGGGACAGGAGTGTGGGAGTGAGAAAAAGATAAATGAGTCATCAAGTTGCTTATCACTGTCTCTCAACACATCTTAATCACTCACATTTATCACACAGGATCTTTTTAACTAAATTCAAAGCTACAGATTTTTAAGTAAAGTTATCTTTCTTCCTTTTTCCCCTCCACTCCCATGCCCCCCAGACCTCTGATCCTTCTTCCCCAAATTAACGGCTCTCTAATTGTGGTGAATCTTTCCAAATAACTTTCACTTGCATCAAGTTTATACTGCAACATTTTAGCACCCCTCTATTTTTCTAAGCACAGATGTGATCACCCTAGACTGTCTTTTACATTTTGGTACTGTCCTCCTTTTCATGTACAGCTAACACATCTTTTTGATGACTCTAAGTTATTCCATTGGCTCAATAAATTATATTTTTATTGTAACAAGGATGCTTTCTGCTTAGTATCTTAGTGTATATGTGGAATTTCTTAATTAAAGTATATGTGCACTTCATGTTTTAATAAATATTTGCTAAATCACCTTTCAGAAGTTAGAATAATTATAACATGCTACATTTCCTACTCTTAATCAAGTTTTGAATATCTTAATTTTCAACAGTCTGGAGGTTGGAAATTGGCAACTTGTTTTGAGTAGTGCTTAATAATATTTGAATGTGAACACCTTTTATGTTTACTAACCATTTTACTTTTTCCTTCTAATTTAAATCCTTTGACATTTTCCTATTAGGTTTTTCATTATTTTAGTTGTGAACAAGAGTTCCCAGAAAAAAACAAAAACAAACAAACAAAAAAACAGTGACATCTTCAAACTAAACCATCTGCAAGGCTGATTAACTGATTAGAACATCAATGACTGTAGAGAGTTTGAATGCTGCAGGTCCAGAGCCAAGTCATTCTAAGCCATCACTAAATAGCCATTCCTTGCCCACCTCTGTGTTGGACCTAACATCCTATGATGACCAGAAAATAAAAACCTTTTGGGATGTATTAACTTAATAAAACCCTAGCTTCCGCCAGCCAAAATGCTGAGTGTCATCAGACAGCACCTGAGGCTTGGAGCTGAGATTTCTCTGCTTTGCTGTGACTATCTACTTAGTGTTTCTGCCAGTGTATTTGAAAAGTGACTTAATTTATAATTTTCTTAGTTATGTTACTATAAAAACTTTATAAAACTGCTTCTAAGCTGAAACATGGAATTTGGGGTGACATAAGTCTGGACCCTAGTCACTCATATTTGGCTCTAGAATAAACTATCTCTTGTCCCCATTTGAGGTCAGAGTTGTGTTTTTTTGTTAATGTGGTTATTTGAAAACTCTGTGCCTATCAAGGTAATTAGATCTGTTATACTATTGCAAAACTCTCCCCCAATCTTCACTTTGTCTCTTGAGCTTGTTTAATAGATATTATTTTAAATGGAGGAAAAGAGGCAGTAGATAGACTCAGGGACTACAGATAATGTTTTACAATATATATTCATCATAGCAAAAGGTAGTCAATACATAGAAAAACTATCCATATGATGACAATATTTAGTTCAAGTAATGAAGACCAACAAGCTGTGTCAGTTCTGTATGCCGGCAACTTAACACTCTCTGGAAAAAGTTTCCATGAGGCACAGCAATCCTGATCAATACTCTAGAAAACTTCATTGGTAAGGAAATACACTCCAAACTAAACTATAATTTGGCTAAGGTGATGATTTAGGGGGATAAAGACAAAACAAGGAATTTGAGTGTAATGTTCAGATGGAGGACAAATGGACTGCAAGAAAAAGGGGAGATGAACCGAAGAACAGGGGTGTTTATTTTGGCACAACTGGAGAACACATCGATGGTTCAAAGAAAATTCACAAGACACCTTTGTAAGCAAAACATGGCAATTCATAGGGCATTTCACTACCTACATTCTACATATGGAGTGTAGACAATTATCTTTAAAAGCTAACCTCGCAAGGAGGTAATTTGACTCCACAGTTGTGTTCCAAGAGAAAGTGTTATGGGGAATGAAACTTTCTTGGATAATCTGTTCATAGATTTGATAACCAATGAGTTAAAGGCTGAGGCACTGACTCTTCCAGTCCTTAAAGTCAGTTTCACTAAGTACTAAATAGAGAAACATGGGATATTTTGGTGTTTGAACTTTTCCTAAGAGAGTACTGAGTAAAATTTTAAAAAGGCACTGGATTGTGTAACTCAATGGGTATTCCTATCTGGAGAGTGATAGGTAACACCCCTCAATTGGCTACCTGGGATGCCTGGAAAACATGAGAGATGCACCTTCTACTGGCCTCCTCGAATAGGACTAATAGCACTCAGAGGTCTTTCACAGCTATCATGACCCTGCTTTAAATCCCACCCAGTGTCTAGATCAGGGTTCCCAGGAGGCCAATCCCTCAGGAGCCACCTTTGTGATTTATTTCCATATCTATGTGTCAGCTCTATCATTTGCTTAATTTGCCAAGTAGGCTCACCTTTAAAAAGTATATACATAGCTACTTGTTGGCCTCATTTTAAGGAAAATCTATAAGGTAACAGGTTTCAAAAACTAGTAATATTTTTCCCATATTGTTCAAACCTAATAATGTCTCCTAGTTTACTACTGTATAGAATCATTTTCATGGGCCTGGAAAGATGGCTCAGCAGTTAAGAGAGCAGGCTGCTCTTGCAGAGGACCCACATTCAGTTCCCAAGCACCCACATGGTGGCTGAGAATCGTCCATATCTCCAGTTCCAGGAGATCCCATGCCTTCTTCTGACCTCCGTGGGCTTTGCATGACACAGGTGCACTTGCAAACAATACAATCATACACATAAAATAAAAATAAACTTGAAAAAAAGAATCATTTTCAAGCTACCAGTGCTGTCTGGATGCTATACAGTATCTCTCAAACTTAAAATGTGTGAGCATCTTGCTGAATACAGATTCTGAACCCTCAGGTCTGAGATGAAACCTGACCATCTATATCACCTCAGTGACTCCCAGTGACTTCACACAGACCACAGGAACCAATAGGGAAGGGGAGTCCATGGTATCATGATGATTTCAGTGGCTTCCTGGTAGCCTGACCTACAGGACCTTATAAAGTATTTTTGTATCTCTATCTCATTTCATAGCCACAAAAAAATAAAAGAACCATTATCAGTTCTTTTTTTAGTGGAGAAAACCAGCCACAGGGGGTAAAATTGAAAGTGATATTAACTGGTTCAACTGTGGTTCCTGGACTTGGAGAACATAAGCTCTTCACTCACAAAATCATAGTAACTTCCTCTGGGAGGTGTAAATTAGAGAATAATGTTAAGCAGCACAAGGTAAAAGCAAAACAAAACAATGACAATGTTTCTGTGAAGAAGGCTGAAATGATTGAGGGTTTGGATGCAGGGAACTTACACAAGCTTTGATCTATGACATAAAAGGAGCACTGTGGGGCAACCTGCCGTTTGTAGGGGATCTCGGGACTGCGCAGCCCTCCCCCGTCCTCTAGCCAAAGTCAGCTCAAAAGACAGTGTTCATTCTCTCTCTCCAAACCTAAGATGATATATGGAGTACTATTTTCAGTCTAGAAAAAAAATCAACTTATTTTTCGTCCTTTATATTAATAATGCTCTTTGAACATGGCAGGATGACTTACAAAGCTGTTTCCTTTGGCTCTAAGGCTTTGTGCTGCAGCACAATGCTTCATATAAAACTAGTCCCCATCCTAAGATACTATGGTTTAGGCTATGATTATTTTAAGCCTTCTTACCAATAATAAAGGTTTGCAGATAAACTAGGGCTTAGAGTGAAAGGACTGCTTTTCTTGAGGCACTAGAAAAATGTTCTGAGTTCTACATTTTGAGTCAACAGTTTGTAACATGATAATAATAAGTTAATAACTACGACATTGAAAGCTAAAGACA